TTAATGAAAAAAAAAAAAGAACCAGTTGATTCCATTTTTAGTCCAGTCATCTTGTAGATGTGTTTATAAGAAAGAAAAAAAAATGTTTTTGTTTTTCTAGACAGGGTTTCTCTATGGAGCTTTGGAGCCTGTCCTAGAACTCACTCTGTAGACCAGGCTAGCCTCGGACTCAGAGATCCCCCTGCTTCTGCCTCCTGAGTACTGGAATCTAAGGCATGTGCCAGCACTACTTGGCTTTAGTTTATTTCGGCAAGAAAAGAAAATTCAAATGCTAAGAACAAACTCTAAGCCACAAACGCTGATGCAGTCTCAGCCACACAACAAATTGTGAACACAGCCTGAGGTACATGAGACCCTTGCTTCAAACAAACAAGCAAAGGAATATTAAAACTAACAGGGAAAATGTCACGGCCACCCTCAACCCGCAAGGATGATGCGACACCCGGAGCTCTTCTCACTGCAGTTTTATTCAGAACTTTATTCATAGCAATCTATCTCTATCTCCTTCTCTCACCGAGCAAACCTCTCCCAGCAAGTAGGCATGGGCTACCAACCCCGAACTGCCAGGTGGGCACCGCCCATAGGTCCATGCATATGCAAGCAGCTGATAATCAATGCGTGATCATAGCATAGGTCAGGCCTTAGCCTAATCTCAGGAGCTGATTATACATCTCCATCAGGTGTGACTCCACACAGCTCGCTACAGGAAAAAAAATACGAGTTCAAAATAAGTGGGTCACAACCTCTCTCTTTGTGATGTTAGGACAGAACCTAAAGCCTTGAACATATAAAGGACTCTATCACTAACTATGATCTCCTCCCTCCCTCCATTTAGTTTTTTGTTTTTCGAAGCAGATCTATGTAGCCTGACTGGCCTCAAAACCCAAAGTGAGCCACCTTCCTCAAGAGCTGGGATTACAAATGTAAATTGCATCACTAACCACACCAGCCCTAACCCTTTTTTTCCTTCTATTTTGAGGTATGGTTTCGCTAACTGCCCAAACAGGCCTGGAACTTGAGGCTCTCCTGTCTCTAATTCCCAAGTATCTTGGATTACAGGCTTGAGCCACCAGGCCCAATTAAACCACATTTCTACATTGCTTTAAAAGTACATAAACAAACCAGGTGATGGTGTTATACACCTTTAATCTCAGCATTTGTAGGCTGGTGATGGTGGCGCCTGCATTTAATCCCAGCATTTAGGATGCAGAGGCAGGCAGATCTCTGAGTTCGAGGCCAGCCTGGTCTATAGAGCGAGTGCCAGAACAGGCTCCAGAGCTACAGAGAAACCCTGTCTCAAAAAACCGAGAGCAAGAGCAAGCGAGCGAGAAAGAGAGAAAAGAAAGAACAAAAGAACTAGCAAAAGATGAAGAATGAGGCTGGGCACAGTAGTGCACACCTCTGACCCCAGCACTTGGGAGGTAGAGGCAAATGGATGGATCTCTGAGTTTGAGACTAGCCTGGTTTACATAGTGAGTTTCAGGATAGCTAGGGCTATGTAGAGAGGCCCTGTCTCAAAATAAAGAGAGAGAGAGAGAGATGAAGGGTAGGGGGTGGTGAGAGGCTCAGTGGGTAGAGGCACTTGCTGCAAAAACTGACAACCTGAATTCCATTCCTAGAACCCACATGGTAGAAGAAACAACTCCCACAAGTTGTTCTAATATCTCCACATGTGAACTGTGACATGTGCATACATAAATGTAATCAATTATTTATGAAAAAGTGAAGGATGGGGCCAGGCAGCGGCTGCTCATGCCTTTAAACCCAAAACTAGGGAGGCAGAGGCAGGCAGATGGATCTGAGTAAGATGCTAGCCTGGTCTACAAAGCAAATTCCAGAACAGCCAGGACTACATAGAAAAAGGTCCTGAAATGCCCCCCCCTCCCAAAAAAATGGTAAAGGATGGAAAAAAGCTATTAATGACAGGTCAAGAGAAAAAAAGACCAAAATATTACTTATTTGTATCCTATGTTTCATTGGTGATTCATGTTTCTATAAAGAACCTACATGGCTCAGAGTCCCAATTCCAACCCTACTGATAATCACGTAATTTATTCTTTTATTATATTTATATTGGGGATAAAAGTACACATCAAGACACACATGTTAATATCAGAAGACAACTTGCAGGAGTTGGTTCTCCTTTCATCATGTGTCCTGGGGATCTAACTCAGGTCATTAGGTGTGGCAATTAACACCTTAACCCACTGAGTCTTTTTTTTTTAATTTTTTTTTTATTATTTATCATGTATACAATATTCTGTCTGTCTGCAGGCCAGAAGAGGGCACCAGACTTCATTACAGATGGTTGTGAGCCACCATGTGGTTGCCGGGAATTGAACTCAGGACCTTTGGAAGAGCAGGCAATGAATGCTCTTAACCACTGAGCCATCTCTCCAGCCCTCCCCCACTGAGTCTTCTTACAAGCCACATTCTATGATTTAAAAACAGCCACAAACTAATAATACATAGATGGTTCTAGTGTTTCTAAACCCGAAAAATGCTTAGAATCCCTTTTAATAGTAAACATTAAGAAACAGAATATTAACTATTATAACATGATAATGAATGTCAAAGAACAAAAGGCAATGACCATACTATACTAAGAGAACACAGACCTTAAAATTGATACTGTGAGCCAGGAGATGGTGGTGCACACCTTTAATCCCAGCACTCAGGAGGCAGAGGCAGGCGGATTTGTGAGTTCAAGACCAGCCTGGTGTACAGAGTGAGTTTCAGGACAGACTCCAAAGCTACACAAAGAAACCCTGTCTCGAAAACCTGAAAAAAAAAAAAAAAACAACCAAACAAATAAATGATACTGTGGCAGTGAAATGGTTCAGCCAGTAGAGGTACTTTCTACATAAGCCTAGTGACTTAAATCCAGTCCTTAAACCCACATCAGGGTAGAAAGAACCAACTCTACAAACTGTCCTCTAATCTCCACACATACATCTACACATCACACACACACACCTTTTTTGTTTCTTTAAAGTAATGCTAACTACAGTCATCTTTGCTTATCCATTTACAAACAAAAAAATTATCTTTTCTTTAGGTCATCGAAGTTTTAGCTTTGGGGCCTGGAGAGATGGCTTGGCGGTTAAGAGCATTGCCAGCTCTTCCAAAGGTCCTGAGTTCAATTCCCAGCAACCACATGGTAGCTCACAACCATCTGGAATGAGGTGCCCTCTTCTGGCCTGCAGGCATATATGCAGAGAACCGATTGTATACATAATAAATTTAATATATATGTTTTAGCTTTTATGACCATTCAATTTATAATAGTCTAAATATGTCACTCTCTCCTTAAAAACTGTCCATATGGAAGGCTGAGTAAAATTTTTAATTTCTTATGTCTCTAACAGAAAACCTAAAACTTAACTCTAATGTCTAACAATGATACTCCCCAAATAATGAGCAGATACCGTGATTATCTAAGAAGTTACCCTTATCCTCCTCACCCCTATCATGCTATTTAAGAGACTTCTACAAACAAGGGAATGTAGCACATGGCTGTAATCCCAGCCCCTGAGAGGCTAGACAGCAAGTTCAAGTCCAGCCCGGACTGTATGAGGTCCAGCAAATACCTCAGAGGGTTAAGTCACTTGTTAAACAAGCCTGATGATCTGAGTTCAGTCCCCAGAATTGACAGAGGAACAGGCTCCCAAAAGGAGTTCTCTGACTTCCATCCTTCACAACTGTACTCTCACACTCATATCCTACATCACACCCACACCCCAATGAGATTCTATCACACACGCGTGCATGCATGCGCACACACACACTCGCGCACACACACACTCGCGCACACACACACACACACACAAAAAAAAACCTTTCATCAAATACTGTGTGCACTGTGTTCCTGGCTCTATGCTAAGTACTAAAAATAGATAATGGAGACATCAAATCCAAAAAAGTCCCTGCTATAACGGGTTATTTTATTGCCTAGTTTCTCCATTTAAAAGATAGGAGAATGCTACAATAAAAAGCACATGGAGAACTAGGGCTATAGGATGTAGGAGGAACCTAATGAGTAGGGTACTTGTCTATTGAGCACACAAGAACTCTGGGTTAGATCTCAGCATTACATAAACCTGGTGTGCAGTAAACTTGTCACCCCAGCACTCCAGCAGTATGAGCAAGAAACTTTCACAAAAGTCAAGAGTTACTTCTTAGCTGGGCAATGGTGGTGCAAAGGCAGACGGATCTCTGTGAGTTCGAGGCCAGCCAAAGAGAAACCCTGTCTCAGAAAATATAAGAGAAAAAAAAGATACCATTTCAAATAAAAGGTCTGAGTCAAGGGCGTAACACAATGGTAGAACACTTGTTCAGAATGCATGAGGCCCCAAACTCAAATTCTTAGCACCCCCCCCAAAAAATAAGGGAAAAAAAAACCAAACACGAAAAACCACAGGGGGAGGGAGGAAGGAAAATAGGTAGGTAGGTAGATAGATGATAGGTAGATAACAGCTTCTCCCTTTAGCAGTAGCTCAAATTCTGTATTTCTTTGTGCACACTTTAATCCCAGCACTAAGGAGGTGGAATGATCTTTGTGAGCTCAAGGCCAGCATAGTCTACAAAACAAGTTTCAGGATAGTCAAAGCTATTACACAGAGAAAACCTATCTCAAAAAAAACAAAAACAAAGTATTGAGATATCTACACCAAGATTATCCTTGCAACAGGCAGTGGTGGTGCACACCTTTACTCCCAGCACTCTGGTGGCAGAGGCAGGTGGATCTCTGAGTTCAAAGCCAGCCTGGTCTACAGAGTGAGTTCCAGGACATCCAGGGCTACACAGAGAAACCCTGTCTCAAAACACCAAAAAGGGAAAAAAAAAAAAAAAAAAGATTAACCTTTGTAACAATGGCACAAAGTGTATATAGATAGCACAAATATAACACTTTGAAAAGAATAAAGTACTTTACCCCTGTCATACACTAGATAATACAGTTAATGCACTGGAAAGAATTTTGGCAAAAGGATAAGACGTACCTCTGTTCCAATTCCAGGTTGCACACCTGAGTAGACACTGTCTGGTGGAGGACCACCATACTTCCTTTGTCCTGTGGTTACATCCAGAGTATAACCAGTCCTCTCAAGCAAGGCCTAAACATAATTAATTACACATCTGTTATACTTGAAAATATAAGCACACACAAATCAGTATAATAATCTTTTTTAAGTTACTATAGCATCTTATTAAATGTATTTTATGGAGGGTTGGAGAGATGACTCAGTGGGTTAAGAACACTGGCAGTTCTTCCAGAGGACCTGGGTTCAATTCCCAGAACCCACATGGCAGCTCACAACTCCAGGAGATCTGATACCTTCATACCAATGCACATAAAATAAAGTTAAATAAAATTTTTTAATGTATTTATGGTGAGATTAAAAGGAGGCACCTGAAAATATAACTTAGTTGATAAAGGTATTTATCTAGCTAGCTTGAAGCCCTGGGTTCTATCCTCAGTATCACATAAAAACCTGGGATGGGGCCTGGCTGTGGTGGTGCCTGGCTATAATAATGCATGCCTTTAATCCAAGCACTCAGGATGCAGAAAGGCAGATGGATCTCTACAGAGAGAGTTCTAGGACTGTCAGAGCTACACAGAGATGCTATGTCTCAAATAAAAGCAAAAACCAAGCATAGATTAGCAATTAAAAGAGTTTACTGGTCTTGCAGAGGATTAGTTCCCAGCAATCTTGTGAACTATCTCATAATAACTCCAGGTCCAGGGGCCCAATACCCTCTTCTGGCCTCCATGGGCACTGAAGTCATGTGCACAAACCTATACTCAAACACACACATATACATATAATTAAAAACAACACTAAAATATCTAAAGGGGGTGGCCGGGGACAAGGCTCTGAAATAAAAAGCATCTACGGCTCTTGCAGAAGACCTAAGTTTGATTCCCAGCACACAAATGGAGGCTCATAACTGTCCTTAACTCCAGTTCCATTTATTTGTTGCATATTCTTACTATAACAAAGTCCAGAAAAACTGGAAATTCTCAAAGTATACTCTAAATCTGGCAACTACCAAATATAGTCAGATTTCAAAAGAAGAAACCTTATTATTTCTTGATTATGTCCCATCTTATTAACAGTTATGTCATAGAAAATATGCCCTTGTCCTCAAAAAGCATGCACTATAGATAGCATTCATATGAAAGGCATATAGCACATCTTTTGCTGGCAAACGAAATATGCAATCTACCAAGAAAAAGAGTTTTGCATGTTAGGTTTCTAATTATACAAAGCAACACCAGATTTACGTGTATTAGGTTTAGTTAACCCTGAGATTCCACAGGGATGGACGTCTTGGATCTTTCATTTTTCTACCTTTGATTCAAAGTTTTTAAACACAAATATACATGTAATATCAAATACAACCAAGTATACATTTTATACAAATAACATACAAATTAGCAATTGTCAACTTGGATTGGTTGGATTGTCAACTTGATACAACCTAGACATATCTAGGAAGGACTCTTAATTAATTAAAACTCCATAAAACTGCCTGGCAAGTCTATGGGGTATATTCTTAATTAACAATTGATATAGGAGGGCTCAACACACGAAGGCAATGCCATCCCTAGACAGATGGTCCCAGGGTGTATAAAAAAGCAAAATGGGCAAACTATGGGAAGGAAGGCAGACTCTGCATCAGTTCCTGCCTCCAGGTTCCTGCCTTGAGTTTCTGCTCTGACTTTCCTCAGTGATGGACTGTGATGAAATAAACGTTTTCCTTACCAAATTGCTTTTGGTCATAGTATTATCACAACAATAGATACTCTTAACTAAGACAAAATATACACAAATTATTTCTCTTTTTTTAACTGTATCATTAGAAATACCAGGTTTATCTTGCACAAAGCCAGGAAACCAACGATGCCAGATAGTGAATTTCTATTGTACTGTCTTTTGAACTACACATATTATTTCCATAGTATACCCATCACTAACGGCAAATAGACAGCCAATCAGCTAGTTAGTAAGTGCAAATTGTTAAACTACTACCTCAAACCAGAATTGAAGGCGGTTAAAGAAAGGCTTTAATTAGGGATAAAGAAAAAAAGAGAGATACATACATACATACAGAGAGAGAGAGAGAGAGAAAACAGCAAAACAGAGGGGGTACTCCGGAAGTAAAAATCTTTAAAGGCTGGGATCTTTGAGTCGTTAAGGGGTCAACCAGAATTTTTATACAGTAGTTTGAGTTTTGGTTGTTTGTTTTTTTTNTTTTTTTTTTTTTTTTTTGGTTTTTCAAGACAGGGTTTCTCTGTAGCTTTGGAGCCTGTCCTGGAGCTAGCTCTTGTAGACCAGGCTGGCTGGCATTAGTTTGAAATTTTTAAAAGAATGCAACTAGGTCACTTTACAAATGGTGAGGAGAAAAGTGTAAAGGCACATTACAAAGTTAGTTATATCTAAACATAAGCCACCATAACAAACAACTCCAACATTCAATACCATTCAAATTAAATCTGGTAGTCCAGCCCAGGATCAAGCACTTGCTTAGTACCTGAGAAGCACTGGGTCAGAACCCCAAGGCTGGGGTTGGGGGTAATCTCTACAAAACAATACCCATTTACTAGGTCTTTCAAGAAAAGCCTATTTGTCTTTCAAAGCAGTTTATCTAAATAATAATGATTGGAGAGGGTGGACACTTTACATATGAATTCACTTAATCTGCACTACTCCAAGAGGTAAGCACAACCATTACCATTTATAAATAAACTGAGGTCAGGGAAAATTTAAAAAGAAAATTAGTATACAACAGTTTTTCCCAAGGGAAAAAGTCCCAGACTTGTTCAGTTCAGGCCTTTCACTTCAACACTCAAGAAGGAGGCTGAGGCAGGATCTCCATGAATTTGGGACCAGCCTGGGATACACAGTGAATACCATGCCAGCTTGAGCTGCATAATGGGACCCTGTAGCAAACAAACAAAATATAAACAGTGCTTATAAAGAAAGTAAAAGCATGCATCTATGTCAGACGAAGGAAGGGCCTGAATTAGAGCTTTTGCACCAATACTGTAGCCCCTGCCCCAGTCGTGATTACCTTGATCTTTGCCTCATCGGGCCCTTTTGTGGACTCCTGCACCTTGCTGCCCTGTTTCTCTCTCTGCCTGTAGGTCTTCATAACGCCACATAAAAATGCACTTTTGTTCTAAAACATGCAAGCAATCCAAAAGGAAGAATTACCAGGAATCTCTGAAGGGTCAAATACACAATGAAATTTCATTTTCATTCCATTCATTCAACAGATATTTTTATGGTAGTCACTATGTACCAGAGACAGGAACAGACAGCCTCAGGGAGCTTACCTTCAAAACTGGAAGGGGGAAAAACGTGTTCCATTTATTAATATTTAATTGAAGCTGGACTATCTTTCCAAGATGTCTAAAAGTATTTCTCACACAAAAAAAGATCAAATAACCCAAAGAATATTTTTAATGCAAGTAATTCAAACTTATAAACCTTAATAAAAACAATAATCAAACCATGGGTTAAGCTTTTGAAGGAACTTACTGTATAAAAAGGTGGAGAAGACTTTTGCTTTGTGCTTAGCTTCTGAAACTCTGACACAGATTTTTTTTCCCTTAAGTTTTTCAAAGGAGAGATAGTCATACACACAAAAAGACCATTTCCCCACAGGCAAAAACAGGACTGTCACAGTTCAAAAGCTGCAGACTATTAACTGCTCAAAGGCATTTGCTAGTACTGACCTTACCTGAACATGAGATAAGTCACTTTCCTTGAACTGCTGTAGTACAGACAGAGCTCCTTCTTCATTAAACTCCCTGAGAGCATCAATTGCTCTTTCATCAAGATCGACATAAGCTACCAACCCTAAAAATCAAATTGAAAAGGGTTAACATTATTGCAAAGAGGCAAGCTAAACTGTCCTAGCGAGAGCTGTTACATTCATTTCTTACAAACTACATTCTCATTTAACTATATGCATATATACAGTTATACAAATAAGATGTAGAAAGTACAAAAATCAAACATAAAATGTCAACTATAAGCATGAATTTTAACTAAAACAACAACAAAAAATCTCAAGATCCTAAAATGTTTCCAACTTTCCAAATAGCAGTAAGTTCTGAAAGTCTGATGCACATACTGTACTAAAGATGAACCATTCATTTAAATTCTGGCTTATATTAGAGTGGCAAGAATACACTGTATTTCTTAATAAATATTCAAATCACAGGTTGTTTTAATTGTTTACCATGGAAGAGGTAGGAAAAAATAGGAGAACCAATTTTACTTAATTCTTTCCACTCCAAAAAGTGTCAAAGGTTTTCCCTCCTTAGCACCAATGATAAATTAAAATGTATTTATCCAAGCATCTATTTTGCTGCAGTCAGAATGTGGAAAGGCATAATTTTCAATGATTCTACAAATGCAAGTGCAGCTTGCTAAATCAGCTCTGAATGTCGTAATTATGGCGTCTTTTTCTCTTCTGAAGTAACAAGCCAAGACTTAAAAGATGCTGTGGCATTCACAACACTGTCAATAATGACCATTTCTTTCAAATGTCAGTAAAAATGTTAGATTTTTAAATAAAGTATACAGAACATATATGTGCTGCATTCTATATATGTAGTCTCCTTAACTCAAACAGAATATCTATGTTTAAAATAACTTAATACATAAGGCACCTTTTCAGAATTGATCCAATGTAAAATAGAAATATTTGACAGATTAACAGCCCCTTCCCCAAGTCCATATGAACCAACACCAAAAGTGATCCTATTCTGGAAAAGCCAAAAAGAACTTTATTTCATACAGTAAATAAATTGAAAATAAACGTGAGGCCACTTGCAAAGTTACTGATTAAAAACGTTGCCATGTCACGTTTTAAAAGCTCAAAATGAGCATGGCTAAGTGACTTACTTGAATATTTCATACCACCACCCAAAGCCACAACTCAGGACAATCATCAATCCATCCTGGCAATACAATCCTACACCCAAACCATCAGCCTCTTAGCAGTAACAAAACACTATACAGGGAGCATCTCTAAGCAGATCACTGCCAGTTCTCTAGGGCAGAATGTCACAGAAAGTTCCTGAGAACTGGTTTTCAAGTGTGACCATCACTCAGGAGTCATTTTTATAAGCCATTTTAGTATCTAAAATTAAATCTCAACTGTGAGATTTAAAATATTTTAAGAAAAAAAGCACAGCTATTTGTCTACTGTATTTGAAACTTATGTCTAAGAGAAACAATTCAATCCTCTCTCCTGATCTGAATAGGCACACAAACACAGAGGAAGAAAGTTTCCATCTATGGCCCCAAAGGAGGACACGTTTATTTACGAACACCATTCCCTAAGGGTAAACATTTCTCTCCCTCTTTAAAACTTCAAACCACTTACAACCAACCAAATTTAGATGTTCAAATTTGCTTAAGCACGTGAGCATGGGACTTACACATTAAGAAAAAAAAAAAACCAAAAAACAGCTGTTACAAACCAAACACTTCCAAATTACTGAGAGATGTGAATTTCTGTCTATTAGAAACTAGACAGGCCACAAACTCTCAAGGAGTCTGATGTATATTATCGTTTCAGACAGTGCAGTCTAACTGTTCTTCTTATGCCACCTAATCAGACCTAAGCTGATTTAACAGTCACTTTTAAAAAGCTAAAAGTAGAAAAGTAAAAGCAAAATGATGACTGATTTAGGTTAAGGGGGAAATGCAAAATTTGGTATGCTGAAACATACATTTTAATTGGTAGTAAATCTAAGACAAATTGATGTTCTGTTCTGAAACAACTAAGACTGCATATTCAACACTAAGAAGGCTTCAAAATAATAAAATAGGAATATCAAAGTCAAACCCAATATGCCCTCAATGAAGGGAAAGTATATTCAGCTCTACACAGATCAGAAACAGTAAGCATTATTTAACCTTAAAAATCTGTAAAATTCAACGTGGTTTGCCCTCACTTTCATAACCAGTCAGAAACAAGAAATGCATATTATACCTGTCTGAAATATTTCATCAAGTCTTTCTGCCACCTTCTGTGGGAGGCCTGCCTCTATCAGTGTCTTGTAGTGTTCTGTGTGAGTTACACTGGAAGTATCCATTGGTTCTTCCTCTTCTTTTAACTGTACCGCATTACCATTCACCTGATTAGCCATTTTATTATGCTGCTGGAAAAAATTCAGGAGCTATATTACATTAAGCCAGAAATAACTAGTTTGTAGGACAATGCATGACTTATCTGAACTAATTTGTACACATGCTGCTAATAACAACTATCCAGAATCTTATGCCTTTTGTGAGCATCTGATCTAAATTTTCAACAATAATCTTGTGAAACTATAGAAAACGTACATGGAAGTATTAGATTCTTAAGCAACTTCATGTACTCTGGGTTAAAAGGGCTTGAATTTACTGAAGGTACAATTGCTGAGTAACAAAAGCAGCCATTGTGTTCTGGGGAGCAGATCAACAAACCACCACAAAATCCTAAAAGCCCCTCAGCTTATAGATTTCTAAAGTTTGGTTTAAAGCAGAATGAATACCCACACGTCACTTAGTCAAGGTTTAAGAACTTTCCATTTTTCCTAGCTCTGCTTCAGAAACAACATAGCTATGAAATAAATCCATGTTGTATCTAGTTCAACGAGCTGGTGGCTTGGATTCTCTCCACCTAACTTAAAAAACAAAAACACAACTTTCACATTAATTTTGTTCTAAGATTAATTTGCTATTCCCATTCACAGATTTAAAAGAAAAAATGACCAACTTTAAAAGCTAAGCCATTGTTTAAATTCTACATAAAAATAAGTTGAGGTTGCTTTTTGCTTTAAAAAAATCAGAAGTACAAACTGAATTTTTGTCAGTGAAAGAAAGCTGCAAAAAAATGCTGAATGGACAACTTCCAAAAAACTTCACAAACACTATCTGCTTGGCATAAACTTCAGCCAGATTTCTCAGATTAGCCTACCAAAATCATTTTGTATGTTCAGCCTGTATATAATGCTGAAATGGACTAATTCCCTGAAGAGAGAGTAAATAATCACAAAAGCATACAAGGCCAGTCTATACTACCTCAGAGTCAGGGAATTTAAGTGTGTGTTTGCGGTGAAATTATAATGTATGAAGATAACTGGTGGCACAATAAAGAAGTGGCACATACTGAAGTAAAGGGGTGATGACGGTGGTCTCAAGAAAATGCCTACTTTCTTAAACTCAAGATAGACAGCTAAGAAGAAAATACAAGTCACCTAAAAGCACTAACTCCTAAAATAACCAATCACTTCCAGATTACTCATCAAACACTATGCAAATGCGCCAGGTGCTGTTTCTTGATGTAAAACAACTCTTGCTTGAAAGTCCACTGGTATTTAGTTGAAGTTAATGAGAGGAGAAAGCCGAAAAGGGCAGGGAGGCAACAGCAGGAAGGAAAATGTGAAAGGTGTTACTCTGAGAATGACCTGAACTGCATGACTTCCCAGCATCACGAAACTCTCTCTACAGAGACGCCAACTGTAGTCAAAGTCTGAATAGATAAACGTATCTATCTCAAGGAAAGCCTCAGATTCTGATAAGCTAGCAGAAAATGGAAACATCCAAAACTGGCGGCACAAGAAACTATTAGCACATAAGATGAGCATATTTACTGATTAATACAACCTAGTCCTCTCAGAAGTATTCTAAAATCCCCAATCTTTTTGTGAACAGAGTTGTGTTTTCCCATCCCCTCCCAAACACTACAGTAAGACCACCACAACTCAAAAGTTCTACCACAAGACCATCACAGCACTGCACCTGTGAATACTAGGTTACAGGAGAAGCAAATTAACGGAGAAGTTCAATGAGTATCTGTTAAGGTGAAGTGTTTTTTTAAAAAAGTATGCGTGAAGCAAAATGACAAGTTATGTATTAAGCACAAGACATTTATGACTATCACTGATACTGAAATTGTTTTAAAATTTCCATTTGTCAACTTTAACCCAAAAAAAAGTAAAAATAGACTTCAGAAAATAAAACCTTCAGAACAAGACAAAAAGAAAACCTCAAGCCGAATACAAAGTGCTCATTTAAAAGACTTTTATATTATGAGACCATTTAAAAACTCATGTCAATGCAACACAATGCCGCACAGCCAAACCATATTTCTGGATGCAGCAAATATACTAACGTAACTGGAATCTTTGACCTAAACTTTTTTTTTTGAAAAAAAAAAAATAAAGCCATTTAAAATAGGATTTATAAGGGCCACTGGGAGACTTGGGAAGTCAATACTAGCTCCTCCCTGACTTCTGGCGAGCATCTCTAAGCAAAATGTAAAGAGAAGGGCTTTAAAAGAACCAACGAAGGCTAACCGTTACCTCAAAGCTCGGTAGTGTCAAGCCCTTAATCACTACGACCGATTCCAAGGGCAGGAGGAAAAAGTATTCTCAAGCCGGTTAACAAGAAAGGACTGACCCTTTCAAGAACCCCTGGGCTCTCGTCTTGAAATTCTGGCCACATGGTCACTACCGTATAAGAAAAAAGAAGCGCTTTTCCAATCTGAAGCGCCTAGGACATTCTCAGAATTACCTAGCTCAGGCGCCGCTCGAAACCAAGTGTCACGGCCTCTAGTAGTCATTTTTTCCTTCAAATCTAGGCTCCAAGCATGCAGGACGGGGATCGGGTAGGAGGCACCCCCCCCATACCTCGGCCCCTCCGCTCCGACTCCCACAAAAGTTTTGCTCCCCGCTCAGGTAACCCTGGGATTTGCACCCCGCCCTCGGCTCACCCCACCCCCTCGGGCGCGACCCGGTTCTCAACACATCCCACTCGATGCCCGGCGAGATGCGGGCCAGGCCCGATTGCGGGCCTAGGGGAAGAGCGCTGGGGTCAAGAAAACGCCTGAAATCCTAAGCCCGGCCGGGCCGCCGAGAGCGGCGGGCGGAGGCGGGAAAAGCACCGCGAGACCGGCAGGCCGCGCGGAGGACAGCGGACCGAGGGACCGGGCACCGGAGGGGCTGAGGGTGATGAGCGAGAGAGGAAGCGCCGCGGCAGGACTCAGGCCCACGGCTGCGCGGTCGGCCCGAGCTGAAGCCGCCCCCGGCCCATCCCCACCCCCACCCTCGGGCCTCGGAGCAAAGACCCAAACTGCAGACCAGGTCGCCGAGCCCGGGCCCGGCCGAGTCCGGTCAGACCGGGACTCCCGGCCCCTCCCCCCACGGGCCGGCGCGAGACTCACCAGGGCAGAACGGGGGGCCGGCGGCCGGGCCCGTGAGAATCAGCGCGAGGCGCTTTGAAAACGACTAGAAATGGCGCGCGCGCCACCCCCTCCCCCCCTCATGGACCGAGACGCGATCCCGGCAGCACGCGGGGTTTCCCGGAACTGCTTCCAGGGACTCCGTGCGGCCGAGCAATCAGCTCGGGAGGTTGCGTGACGGGCAGTTCAGCGGGCCAATAAGAGAGAAGGAGAGCGGCCCCCTTGCCGGTGGCCCCGCGAGCCAATCGGCGTGGCCGTCGGGCTGAGCCAATGAGGGTTCTCAGCGCCACTGGCTGAGGAGCCTCCGGGGCGGGGGCATGCACACAAAGGGGTCTGTTGGTGGGAGCCCCTGGTAGTGGCGAGGCTGCGGGGCTGCAGGCCTTGCGTGGCCGAAGCTCCTCCCACTTCGTCTAGCACGGTTACGAGGCCGAAAATCTAGGCCTCGCGCCGCGTGGCCGCCTCCGGAGCCCCGCCCCCTCGGGTCCTTGCGGCCACGCTCTGCCATGGCGCTGCTACCCGGCGCGGGAGTTGCTTGTCCCCTAATCCTCCCTCACGCCTTGCTGGCAGAGCGGAGGTCCCAAACACACCCTTTTCCACGCTCGGCTCCGTCGCTAGATCACTTTGGCTCTAGTCGAAACACAACTGAAGGATGACTTGAATCATTTGGCTGGAGATTTTTCGGTAGAAAAGCATCCCTTGGAACGATCGGGAAAAGTGCTTGTTTCCCTCCCTGGCTCCTTTCCACACAGAATAAAGTGGATCGGACTCAAGAGCCGTGTTAACAGAAGTCAAGGACTTCAGAGTTTGGAGCATAGAGTAGGTGGGGCACTGGATCTACCAGGAGGCAAAGCGTTCGTTTCCCCCAAAGAGACTAATCCCTGTTATTCATAAACCTCTCACCTGTCACACCCATCCCAAGCCCAACTGCCAACTCAGTGAGGGTCAAGGGATCTGCTTCCAAATGTTTTCGGAAATGAAGTTTCTCAAACCCGATAAACCAAATTGTTCATCGAGCCCTGCGTTTTTCAATGTACATCTGAAAGAATGCACGTGTGGCGAACTTGGTGGCCTCTGTGACAGTGTTGAGAGGTGGGGCCTTTAATGGGAGGTGTTTCAGGCACTAGGACTCCACCCTCAGTGGGTTAATGCTGACTGTGGAAGGCCTTCAGGCTGTGAGCTTGATATCTGACTGGTTTTGTCTATATCTTTTGCCCTCCCCCCATAGGGTGACATTGCAAGAAGGCTCTTTCCCCGTGTGCCCAACAACGTTGGACTTCCCTGAGCCTAAAGGAAATGTCTTAAAAGAAATAAATTCTTAACCATTACCTTAACATATAGAACTGTAAAAATTGAAATCCTGTTCTGGGGGCTAGAGAGATGGCTCAAATGCAAGCCTAGAAACCTGGAGAGATGGCTCAGAGGTTAAGAGCACTGTCTGCTGATCCAGAGGTCCTGAGTTCAATTCCCAGCAACCACATGGTAGCTCACAGCCATCTGTAGCAAGATCTGGTGCCCTCTTCTGGCAGGCATACATGTAGACAGAATACTGTATACATAGTGAATAAATAAATCTTTAAAAAAAAAAAAAGGGAAACCTGACTTTGAGCCAGGTGTACTCTGAGTTCAAGGCCAAAGTGAGTTTCAGAACAGCACAGTCAGGAACGTTACACAGAGAAACCCTGTCGCAAAAGAGGGGTCTGATGCTAGCCCAGACCCTCAGTTATTTCTCTTGACCAGATCCCAACATAACCGCCGAGGAGGCGGGCGGGCGGGGGGGGGGGGGGGGGGGGGGGGGGGGGGGGGGGGGGGGGGGGGGGGGGGGGGGGGGGGGGGGGGGGGGGGGGGGGGGGGGGGGGGCAGGATACATGACCCATCTCAGGTGTGGCCTATGGCTTGATGGCTTGGCTGCCATGTCATACAGAAATATGGACCTACAACCAACTTTGAATCTGTGCACCTTTGCAAAAAGCCTGGGCTGTAATCCCCAGTGCTGATGAGGACTGAGAATCACAGGGATTCTCTCAAGGGATTGACATGGAGAGTGGAAGAGCAAGATACCCAGCATCCTCCTCTGCCCTTGGTCTGCACCTCCTTTCAGACACACACACACACACACACACACGCATGCACACACACACACACAGGCATGCACGCACACCTGTATTACCCCATCACAGGTATTCTGTCATAGCCATGCTAAAGAGGCTATGGCACCCATTCTGTAAAACACAGACATGCTGGGAGCTGAGGCTGTGGTTCAGTGTTAGAGCATGTACTTCCATACAAAGGGCCCTAAGTTCAGACACCAACTTGGAGGGAAAATAATCATAAAAGTTCTGGAAGCTGGGAAAACCCAGGTTCAATTCCAGCACCTACATGGTGGCTCACAAAAGTCTTGTTACTGTTATACCCAAATCCGTGGGTCCCCACAAAAGCCAACAAAGGAGACCAAGTCCCATATGTAAAAGCGAAGAGCCTTTATTTTAATCAAGTTTGCAAACTCGGTCTCTCCGCGTGTCCAACGTATTGGAATAACCGGAGAGGCCCCGAGCTCAATTAGAATTGGGTTTTTACAGTGGTTGCCACACCAACACGGCAACTGTCTAAGTGAGGAACATCGGGATTAACACACAGCACAACTTCAGGTTCTGCAGACAAGCCTTTATGCCACTTTCTCACACAGTATATATAGCCCTCAGCAGGGGAGGCCGAGCCAGCAAAAGCAAGAAGCTCATCACCTCAGGGGTAAACATCTTTAGAAACACTGCTGAAAACAACAGATTGTTCTTGTTTTTGTTCTTGTTTTCAGAAACAACCAACCACAAGAGTGCAAAACAGATCAAGTGGGGGTGCGAAGGCCTGTCCTCAAGGGACCCAACAATAGTAAAGGTGGGGGTTAGGGGTCTCTGAGGTTCAGGACCCCTGATTGGCTGACATTTGTCTAGGTGTGTCCTGGTGAAGTGTTGGCAGGTGTTTCTATCTACTGTGTATGGAATGCCAGGAATTTCCTTTGAATGGCCTGCTTTTGGGTTGGGGTCAGGTAATCTGGGCCTGCCAGGCATTGTTTCAGGGTAAACTATTGAGACTCTAGACTCCATTTAAATTCATCTATGACCAGAGTCCCAGGTGATAATGGTTGGAGGAAGTAAAGATTATCAGAACTGGCCCTCACACACAGTTACTACAGTCTCAAAGGATCCATCTCCCTTTTCTGACCTTCTTGGACACTAGACACATGTAAGGTATGCAGATATAAGGTATGCAAAGCACTAAATCATATAAAATAAATAATTGAAAAAAATTTAAATAAGCTTTTGTGTCTTGGAAAAATTCCAGGGCCCAGGACATTCAGATCAAAGCTTTCACATACACTGTTCACAACGTGAATGAAGACGTGCTTGCTTGTTTGCTGAACCAGGCTATGTGAACCCTGGCAGTCCTGAAACTCACTATGTAGACCAGACTGGCCTCACTGAGTGCTGGGATCAAAGGTGTGTACTGTTGTGTCTGACCCATATCTTTTTGGTTAGGTGTTTTTGGTTTTGCTTCTATCTTTTTTTTTTTTTTTTTTTTGCTTTTCTTTTTCTTTTTTTCTTGTATGAGAGTGTTTTGCTTATATTTATTCTACCAACCATATGTGTGCCTGATTCCTGCAGAGACCAGGAGAGGGTGTCAGACCCCTTGGAACTGGAATTACAGATGGTTGTGAGCCACCATGTAGGTGCTGAGTATTAAACTCGGATCCTCTGGAAGAGCAATAAGTGTTCTTAACCTCTAAGTCGACTTTCCAGCCCTTAACCAAAGGGTTTTNTTTTTTTCGAGACAGGGTTTCTCCATAGCTTTTTGGTTCCTGTCCTGGAACTAGCTCTTATAGACAAGGCTGGTCTCGAACTCACAGAGATCCGCCTGCCTCTGCCTCCAGAGTGCTGGGATTAAAGACCTGCGCCAGCACCGCCCGGCAACCAAAGGTATTTGTAAATGGAAAGTGTGTTTCCATTTTTGGGGAGCATCTTCACAGATAATTTTCACTTGTTGAACCCTAGGGTCCAATCACCGAGGAGGAGTCGATCCAAGAGACCATCTCTCACACCACAGTTATTGTAAAAGCATGAGGATCTTATTAATTCTGTCATGACAGGGTCTTTCAGAATCCAAGGAGTCAGAAAGACCCCAAATGGCTGGTACAGGCTACTTCTAAAGGAAAAGGCCACAGAAGCAAGGGGGGGTGTCTGGGGGATGTTCTTTAACTGTTATGACTGGCTTATTCAAAAGGACTATTACCAATAATTGGCTGGAGAGCGGTTGCCAGATCAGATGAGGTAAGGGGGAACATCTGAGGGTCACTTTGCCCCCTTCCCAGGGACAGAGTCAAAACATCAATAACTGAGTCAACACCTAAGGGTTATCTTGCCCCTATTCAGGGAGAGGCCTCAGACATGGCTTCAGAATTGTCAGAAATGGCTTTAGGGTTATTTTAGAGTTCTACACACTATAATGTATTGTATTGACTGTCACGTATGCCATCGCTGGCTTTCATATGGAACCCGGTGCCTCAGTGATATTAACTCAGTTTGTGGAAGAAGTGAGGCTTACAGAGTTAAAATGGAACTGGCATGTGAGAGGGACGGCTCAAGTGAGGTGAGGTGACCTAGATTCAAACTCTGGTGTCACTCTAAACTGCTCAGTCCTTAGTCTTCACTCCAGAAGAGACACCTCAGCCAGTAAGAGACCTCCCTCTACAAACCCTCCTGTTCTGCTGGGGACCATATTTCCCTCCAACCCAAAACCATATTTCCCACCACACACCACACCTTGTCAGGGCTGTGACTCCAAATTTCTTTTTGTGTTAATAATTTGTTTCTTTGCTATTTAAGACAGGGTTTCTCTGTGTAACAGCTCTGGCTGTCCTTGAACTCACCTTGCAGACCAGGCCTGCCGCTGCCTCCTGAGTACTGGGATTAAAGGCATATGCCACCACACCCAGTATAATGTATTTGTTTTTATTTTATGTGTATTGGTTTTTTCCTGAATGTATGTCTGTGTAAGCGTAAGGGTGTCAGAAGCCATGTGGTGCTGGGAATTAAACCCAGGTCCTCAAGAAGAGCAGTCAGTGCTCTTAACTGTTGAGCCA